CCCCCCCCCCCCCCCTCCCCGTTGCTACGGCCCTGAGAAGTAATAAAACGAAAAACATTTACTGATTTATGATTTGTTAAATGTTATCCGTTATAAATGCCGTGATTTCGTAAATCAGTTTATATTGACAATACAATTTTATAATATTTTCTCTGTTTAAAGAACTAAAATTTTGTTATACTATTATTGCTGTAATTTTCCGAATGGCCAACCCGATTTTCCGAATATGTTAATTCTAAAAAAGTTGGGGGTTAACCACCCTCCAATACCCCCCTCGCTACGGCCCTGACTGACATTGATGCACAAGAGTCAAACTATGACTAAAAATTAAAAACTGAACATGCTGAACTGAAAAGAAAATATGATGAGTTATCATGTAAATACGAACAGCGTGTACTGCGAATAGAACATGCACTTGCCAGTGACACAAACTTTAAATTCTACACAGGCTTTCAAAGTTATGCAACATTTAAAGTTTTCCTTGACCTTATGTAACCGGCATGTAATTTCGCAATTTATGCTGGTTCGAGTAACAAGGTAGACTACTCGGCAGAATCGAAAAAGCTGAGACGAAAAAGGTCAATGTCGCCAGAGCAAGAGTTGTTTATGGTTCTGATTCGCCTACGTGTGGTCTTATGGGGGTTGACATAGCTCACCGATTTGGCATTTCAGAAGCACTAGTTTCCAGTATATTGACTACTTGGTTAATTACACTGGAAAAAAAATTGAAAATCCATAGAAGGCCATAGAATGGAAATTGTATGGACCTTTATTGGAAATAGAATGGATTTTGATTATCCATAATAATTGTATATTTCCATACTATCGATATAGTACCGAAATAATTTGGATATACTATGGCTTTAGTGGTGCAATTGCAAATCTCATTGTATGGATTTCACATTTATTTCAAGTGTTAGAGTTTCTCTATCACGAGTTAAGAGCCCTACCCATCTGGGAATCACGTGATTATATACAACAAACTATGCCACAGCCTTTCAAAGAAACCTACCCAAATACTCGTGTAATTAGTACTATTTACAACATGAGCGGCCTTCGGCTCGAGTTTGTATATCCGATACAACACGGACGCGAATGTTGTAAACAACTTAAAAAACGACTCATCTTATGAGTTCATTGGCGAAGTAATTTTAAAAATAAACGTTGTCTAAGCCGAGAAAATCAAAGTTAAAGTTTATGTAAATCAACATGAATCTGTATCGCATATACAGATACGACACGCTTATGATTTTTCTTTGTGTTTTCTTCATGAATTATTAATGAGTTTTTTAAATACAATTACAATTTAGTAAATATTTACAATTTATATAAAATAGATCTTCGATGTGGTTAGTAAGGTTAAGCTTGTTAAGAAAGATTTTACGAATTTTTTGTTTGGTGTTAGTATATGGAGAGCAAGATGGCGAAGCAGCAAGTTGCTTACAATCGCTATCTAAGCAATTAAAAAGAATGGAAGCACTGTACAGAAATGTTCGTTTACCAGAGTCAGTACGCGGGAAGGGGGGTTGAAGGTCATATGCGCAAGTTCTAGTCAGAGCCCGTTGTCGAATAGAAGATAAGAATTTAAATATTTGCTTAAATGAAAATGGAGCACTGGGATTTGTGGGAATGTTAATTGGTAAGAAGAGAAGCTACCTAAATTTAACAAAGATCAAAGATTGGGATTATTCGAATCTGGGAAAAAAGAAGAACAGAAGGAGTAGAAAAGTCAGCGTCTAGAATAATACGTACTGCACGCTTTTGCAGTCGAAGAATGCGAAGTAAAAGTGTTTTTGAGCAGTTTCCCCAAGTTACAGAGCAGCAGATAAGACTTGAATTAATACAGGAGTTATAGAAACGAAGAGCACAGTCCTTAGTTAAAAAGGGTTTAATCCTGCGTAATAAAGCAAGTTGTTGAACACAAGTTGTCAATATTCTTGGTGCAAATTAAAAACTCGTCAAGCATTAAACCCAACACTTTTGCTTGCTTCACTTGTGCAAGCATGTTGCCATTAAGAATAACTGATAGAGAACGCTCTGAAATATTCTTAAGTTGTTGGGGAGAATGGATGAGCATGGTCTTGGTTTTCAGTGTATTAGGCATCATTCGGTTTTGTTGAGTCCATGTTGAGAGATCTTGAGCAACAAGGTTAAGTTTCACATTAAAATCATCAATGGAAGAACCTTCTGTTAGTACGGTGGTGTCATCTGCAAACATTGTGGATTCTGAGTGCGAAAGTTGAGAAGGGAGATCATTGATAAATATAGTAAAAAGAAGGGGGCCAAGAATACTTCCTTGAGGAACACCTATCTTAACAGGACGCATATCGGATAATGTGTTTTTGAAATAAGTGCGT